TACCCGAAATCCAATAGAAATGTTACGTGATCAGACGAGCTCGTTTGGCCAAGTGAGTGCTCCCAGCATGGCATGAGAGTTGATAATTTTTTGCTTATAATTGTTAAAATGTTCAATTAAACTGTTTCTTTAGAATAAAAAAATGTGTTAAAACCATTATCAGAAAAAGGCGGAGCAAACAAAAAAGCAGCAAAAACAGGCTTATTTATGAGATTGACGTACATGTAATAAAGGCAGAAGAAACAGGGTGAGTTATAGTGTCCACCAAAATAAAATAAAGGATAAAAGGATAAAGCATTTGCCGTTGATCAATCCCTTTTTGGGATGCGGCACGCATTTGTACATTCGTAGTGGCGTTTGAATGCGATGTGGCCTATACAATGACTTGCGGGGGCCAGCCGATGTACAAGTCAGTGTTTTTATCCTCCCAGACAAGTCTGGTACCAATTAACCGACCCCGGAGGGATGGAAGGCTTGGTTGGCCCGGGCGACTCACGACCCAGGATTTGATCCCCGGACCGCTCGCGTGGTAAGCGTGCCACTTGCCACTACACCACTTCCGCCCTTTTGAAAGTGATGGTAGAGCAAAAGCGCGTTCTCCTGACTACATTTCCTGATCTCAAGTTATATGCACAGCGCATTCAGCAGGATGAATTAGGCCGATGACGCCATCCATTAACATGACCGCACGGCTACGAAGTCGGCTCGAAATGCGGTTAGCCCAGGCGTACGATAGCGTTTAAGTGTCGAGTGGAGATGCGACGAAGTACGGTGGTTGTCAATGGGGCGGCTGCGCGGCGATGGCGATGAGGGGGACCAACACGGCTTAGCGGCTCCCTTTCTTATGATTGTTTGAGGGACTGGAGTGTGCGTGTATTGACAACGGGAAATACCGCAAGACGCCTCTGATCACATTACAAAACCGACACTCGACAACTTCTTCACTTGAAAAACGCCCGATTTAGCGGCTAATTCGCCTAGGACAACTACATCAAAAGAGAAAAAGAAGCGCAAGAACACAAGTGATATCTTTCTACAGTTAAAGCTACAAGGGTAAACATCACATGTGAGTGAAGCATCGTCTTCTATTCAGAGAACCTTTTAGATATCCCAAGTTTAGATATCAATAGTCAGAAGGGGTAAAGACCTCTTTGGGCTAAATTGGGAGGGAGCTCAGCGAGAACTACGACTTTAAAGTACGGGATAACAATTCGTGGGAGTACCTCACGTTCGAGACAACCACCAAGAAAGATCTTAAGTGTTACGTGGAATAAATGTATGAAAATCTCTAACTGCTAGGTTTCGCTCTCAGAAACGTGAGTGGAGATTCGGACCAATGAAAATATTTCCAGGTCGCAACCAGAAAGCAAGTTTGCCTTCCTAGACCAAGGCTCTTTTTGAATAGTCATAATACACGGACTGGTTGTGAGCGATAAACAGAATCATTAAATTTACTGCAAAGTTTTGCACCGATGAGTTGGTTAGGAAACACATGAAAAGAATGCATGAAGTTGAGAGGAAGTGCAAAGATTGGTACAGCGGCCTCAACGGGATTGGCCGATTTCAAACTCGAACAGCAGCGGAAGAAGGAAGGGGTATCAGGGAGTTGACCCTCGGGTTGCTGAACAAGTCTCCATCACCAATTCTGGGTTGCTGGTCGATAGACCTTGGGATTTTCTAGAATGGTAGTTTGCTCTGGGAAGAAGGGAGCTGCAATGAGCCACAGTGAGCCTTGGTTACCCTTAACCGATAGATCTATCATCTTTGAGTGTCGCTTCAGGAGGAACCTCACTAGAGGGTTATTCAATCCAAGAAAAGTTCACGGCCATCTTTGCAACTGCTCCGCTCAATTCATAAATGGAAAATCAACAAAATCAGCAGAAAGGAAGTGAAAATCATTTGAATGTCATTTGTATCTTGATCGAGTCGCCGAGGACACCGTCATCTTAGCATTCGGCATGCTGGGACCGAGCAGAGCGGAAGAAGGAAGGGGTATCAGGGAGTTAACCCTGGGTTGAACAAATCTCCATCAACAATTCTGGGTTGGTGGTTGATAGACCTTGGGATTTTCTAGAATGGTAGTTCGCTCTGGGAAGAAGGGAGCTGCAATGATGCCACAGTGAGCCTTGGTTACCCTTAACCGATAGATCTATCACCTTTGAGTGTCGCTTCAGGAGGAACCTCACTAGAGGGTTATTCAATCCAAGAAAAGTTCACGGCCATCTTTGCAACTGCTCCGCTCAATTCATAAATGGAAAATCAACAAAATCAGCAGAAAGGGAGTGAAAATCATTTGAATGTCATTTGTATCTTGATCGAGTCGCCGAGGACACCGTCATCTTAGCATTCGCATGCGAGAACGCCCAATGTATGGCTTTTATCAATACAGAAACCTCGCCACTGTAGAATGAATGTTCGGAGTGCTATTTGATACTGCTGAGTTAGATTCTTTACAGTACCAGGAAAGCCGATCCGGTTCCTGGAAAAAAGGAAGCCACCTTGACGATGCACGGTAGTAAAATGTTGTCAATAGAGCTAATCGCTTGTACGTCCACTATGAACTAGTGTAATACTCATACTGGTCATGTTAGCATTGGACGATGCGACTAATGAGATTAACCAGATTATTCATTTGTTTGTCTATTCCACGGATCGACAACGGTAAAGAGCCGTTTGGCTCCCATGAGTTCTGACGAAGCACAAGAGTTTGTTTAGCAGTAGATCGATAACGGCTGGGAGTAGAATCAGACTTGCGAAGGAAAACTCATTCAAAACGTTCCACAAACTTGTAAGATTATTCAAAAATGCAATGCGTGATAAGCGCGTGCACGCCAAATAGGTTTTCCTAAACATATAAAGGAGGAAGCATTCGGTGTTGCAAAATCCAGTTTTAGGATGGTCCCACGTATCCTGCTTCCATTCGGAGGCGTTAGTGGCAATGATTTGCGTGGGCTAGCCCGTGTCTAAGTCGGTGTTTTTTTATTCTTCCAGACAAGTCTGATGTCACTCAACCGACCCCGAAGAAACGAAAGGTCTGGATTTGATCCCTCGATCGTGAGCGTGAGCAGCGCCGCTACACCTGCTCCGCGCATTGGAGGAAATAAAATATATTACGGAAAAATGTACAAAATAATCAAAGAGATGGTTCGGGCGGATTGACTGTCTAATGTTGCTCCTTCGAAGCTTTATATACACTCGCTGTCCGACCACCTCAAATCTGTAGTACTGCTTTTAATAGCATATTAGCTGGACTTGTAACGGGATAAGACGGGATAAGGCTAGTACCATTTTCTGATATTAAAAAAGAGTAACAACCACAAGTGTATCTTCCGCTTTAGACTCTGATTATTAACAGCCCAATTTTTGCAGTACTCGGCCTTCCATCAACTTGAACAGTTCGAGTTCAAGTCAAAGTAACACAGGTCTTGCACATTAGTAATTCAGTTGAATCTAC